ACCTCCCCTTTATACATACATGCGAAAAAATACAAGCTCCATTTACAACATACTCTGAAAGTACCACGTACAAAATCAGAAAAGGAAATCTATGCCCCCTTTGGGACTATGGCCCGATGGCCCCATCCTCGCCGTCCTCGGCATCGAATAGATAGAATTTAGGATCGTACTCTTTCGCCTTCGCCTGCTTGATCTCTTCCGAAAGATCGAAGCCCCTGGCATGAATTTCCTCGAGGGTTTCCCTCCGAGATCTGCACCTCACGTACTCTTTATTACTGCTCTCCCGGTCGAGAGCCTTCCTCAGCTCAGCTTGAGCATCAACAGCGCCCTTCAAATAGGCCGCCACTTTCTGGTCAGCCTTAGCGCGGCACGTTACAACCTCAGCCCGGGCATTCTCAACCTCGGCCTTCGCCTCCAAAGCTCGGACTCAAGCCTTGTGATCATATTCGCTCGGACAGAATCATTAGCACGAAGCATTCTGAATTTGCACCTCGAGGGGAGAAGCCTTAGCCAAAGCACCCTCCTTGTTCGCAACTTGGGCATCTACCTAAGCCTTCAACTCGTTAAACTCACATTTGACCCGGCCAACTTCGCCCCAAAAGTCTTTTCGGCTCCTCCGTTTTGCTCTCCGACTGAAATATCGAAGTATTCTCCGAATTGGAAAAGGAAGCACACATCGACACGAATTACAGGAATACCTGTCTTTCGAGACGGCTTTCGAAGTTCCGACTTCGATCCGCCTCGCCCTGCAAGTATACCAGCTCACCCTCCTTTTTTGCACAAAGGAGCCTAAGGGATTTCTCCCTATCCAAAGCTTTCCGCGGCCTGGCTTCACGATGAAGCAGCTTGGACTGGAGCTTGTCAAAAGCCTACGAAAGAAAAAGCTCGACAAGAAAGTAGAAATTGCAAAATCAACACGGACGGCAAAAAACTCGCCTTGAAATAAAGCCGCTGAGCTTCTTCGAAGATCGAGCGCACATCTGCCAGCCTGGCTCCCTCAGCTCCGAAAGAGCCGACCCCGGTTGGGACACGATCGCTCGGTGCATATGATCCCGAGTTCCGAGTATCCCTCGAAGTACCTCCAACGGAAAAAGAGGATGACATCGAAGGAGAAAACCGCCCTCCCAAAGATAGAAATCACGGGCGTGACGGGCTCAGCCAATACTCCCACTTCGGGCCCCCGGTCCAGGTTCACCTCGCTTTGAGCACCGTCGCTCATTAAAGGTATCTCTTGCTTATTGTTATCATTCTTTAGCCCAGAAGCTAGCAAGCCTTCTCCCTCTCCAAAGGGGCACGACCTCGCCTCAGAAGGCTCCCCGATGCCTACAATAGCAGGGTTAGCACGCAGAAAGAGGAAGTGCTTTTCCAACTGAAAGAGGGTAAGGGAACAAATTATGCGGCACATACCATGATATTTGTCCTCCCATCTGTCCTTTGACAAAATTCGCCGCTTACGCTCATTGTAAGTCGAGCAGGTCGACAGCTTCCGAGCCCAGTCCGTCAGGTCGGGGACCTCACACGACGTCCTTGAAATTGCTGCAGAAAAGGAAAGAAAGGCGCATCTACAGAGCCTGCTTTTGCCATAAGCAAAACTACGAAGGTACAAATATACCACTTACGCGCAAAATTCCACTCCTCAGGGAATGGCTTAAGCTCCACAAGAATAATATCGACAGTCCGTACTCGGACGGATCGGCCCATCCACTCCTGACCTTCGTCTTCCTCATCATCAACACTATCCATCAGAAAAGAAGATAGGCTCCAGGAAGCCATTAACATCAATGCAAGTCCCGAGGTAGTACCCGACCTCGAGGATCTCCATCAAAAAGAAGTCGGGCTCCAAGAAACCATTGGCATCATCGTCAGTCCCGAGATGGTACCCAATCTTGGGGACCTCTCCAAAGGGCCATTGATATCATTGCAAGACTCGTATGGGCCTGAGGTACCATCTAAATTAGGGTAAACCCTCATTCAGAATCTATCTACAACGCCTTTAAGGCTATCTACATCAAGTTCAAAACAAGTTCCCAGATGGCCCGAGTCATAGGTATGATATCATTAGTATGATATCGTCATAGGAAGTCCGAAGAAATGGATGTCAAAATCATTTCTTATCGTTCCTCTCCAAGAAACGCGGGAACTATCTGTATACGGTAAAATCGGAAGGTCCAATTCCTCGTCATCGAGGCACCTCAGAGGATCATCTCGAAAGGCTCGAGGCTACGGTCGAGTTTCCTCCCTCGAGGTTCGTCGACGCTCGACCTTGGGACAATGATGACCCCAGCTATGGTAGAGATGGGGAGTTCCCAAGGCGTGCAGCTAGAGCTGACAGAGTCCGTCAGGCTAGTCTGAGCCCGCATCATGGCAGTATCTAGCTGTCCCATCTCCATATCTTCGTAATTAATAAATTTGTACTATATTGGAATTTCTCCTACTATATAAAGGGGATCCCTGTCATTTTATAGACCATCGTTTGTTCCAATTGTTAACACGAAATATACAAGAACTCTTTCTTTTTTCTCTCTAACATACTCTCTGGAAATTGTTGCTCTTGTTTATTATTTTCATACTTGTTCTTCATTTATTGCTTATCATTGGCTATAAAAAGCCTTCGCTGATTATTTTATAACTGTTAGCCCTTGCCTGATTACCCTTAATAGCTCGAGCCCGAGCCCAGGAATCGACCTCGAGGCCCCGTATCGGTCAGTCCGAGGCCCCGATTGGTCAGCTCATCGGTTCGATTGTAACTCTATTTTAGCTTGCATTTTGTCTCTAAACTTCATACACTTAGCATCATTTGCTTAAACAACTAGCATAAAAATAGATCACGTATTTTTAGAGTCCCATCAACAAATTTAATTGTTATTACTATTTTCGCGGTAAACAACTAAATTAGCTCTTACACAAATTTGAAAAGAAAAAGAGAGTAAACATAGACAAAAAGAAGAAAAAGCACACTAACTAATTCATTTTTCTAAGTGTTCAGAGGCATTACGCTTTTAGAAAAATTCAAAGTCATCTGCCTCCAATTTGTTTTTCATAGCATTCCATTTTTCCCATTTTTTGCAGACTTTACTCCAGTTTTCAGATGCTTCTATCGCATTTTCCTCCATTTTTCTTCAAGTGTTTCAGGTGTAATTCGACTACTGAACTGCACACCTATTCTTTCTGTTTTCTTTTAACCCTTCTTCATTCATTTCCAACAAATTCTGCTAAGATCATTAAACATGAAGCGGAGAAAACCAACCATGACAGAGGGTGTGTTTGGTACGAATGAAAACATTTTCCGGATTTTTTTTTTCATGTTTGGTAGGCTTAAATGTTTTGGAAAACATTTTCCTCAACAACTCAGGAAAATGTTTTTCCTATCAAGGGAAGGGAAAACATTTTCCAAAACTCTTTTTCAACCTTCCCCACCCTATTCTCCATCCCCACCAACCCACCCCACCCCCACCCCANTTTCTACAAATATAAAAGAAAAATTAAGTATTAAGCTCTAAAATCATTCATAACATTTTAAGCAAAGTGAAAATTTTTACAACCATTTAAAGTCCTATTAATAAAAAAATAATTAAATAGTAATTTTTTAAAATATGAAATCTAAATTGAGTATTTTCTTTCATGATGTAGAAAAAGTATTTTCTTTCATTAATTTCAACAAAATGATTACTTTATTTTCATGTTGTAGAAATAGTACTTTCTTTTTCAACCAAAAAAAGAGTATTTTTTTTAGTTATGGAGCACAAATTTTAACATTGTTTTTGCGTAAAAAAGTAAAGCAACACATTAGTTCCTTTGATTTTGTGTGAATTTTAAGAAGAAAATAAAATCATAAAAATGTTGGGTATCTGAGAGGAGGGGGGAGCATATGAAACATGGGGACTTGGGGGAAGGGATGAGGAGAGTAGCATAAAAATATATTTTCTACTCTCTAACCAAACACTAGAAAATATCTGCCGGAAAAAGTTTTTCACTCACCAACCAAACAAGGGAAAATCACTCATTTTCCATGAAAACATTTTCCTTCGCACCAAACACACCCAGAGAGTTTCAACTTAGATGAGGAGTTTCCCAGGTTTTACATTCTTTCATTAATCAAAAACACTTAAAAAGAAGCCACAAAGTAGATAAAATCCCCATTAAAAAGAAATTTAAAGACACAAGGGCATATTTTCACTTCAAAACACCAAGAAATGTGTGCTTAGAAGAGAACTGTTAGAAAAGACTTGATTTGCCCTGAACCAGTTATACAATGCAACAAGATATTAGGATTCATAACACAAATGTATACAGCTGATCGCATATCCGACTCATGGCAACCGCAACCAAGAGTTAACTCGACTTCACTAAGTCTCTAAAGATAATCTACAGTTGTGGGACTTTGTGAGAATTCCTCACACAAACATAAGTTTACAAGCATGTTTATATAGAAAATCTGTCAGTTAATTCATACACATGCACCCATCTTTGTCTGTGATGGCACTAATCATCTCTATAATAACCACAAGTTCACAACTAAAGGTGTCAAAAAACGCGTAAACTGGAAATAAGGGTTTCTGTAGTTTTTCACAAATAGTCATTCAAATCATGTGTTTATAACCTATTTATCGACTTTACACTTGTTCAACACAAAAGGGCAAGTTCCTGCTGATTATAAATGAATCTAGACAGCTTCTGAGAAAGCCAAAGTGACAACTATGCGCCAACTACTAGCCAGCTTTGCATTCAAATTCCTAATCAAGTTTACCAATTATAAAAGCTGGCTTACCATCTATGAGCTTCATTTTCTTCTATCCGCGGAAAAAGAATCACATAATTAATGTCAAAACCTATGTGATTGGTGCCAAGATCTTTTCTTTCTTTCACAGATCAAAACAGGTAAATTGTCATGTAAGCATCAGACATTTAACAAACATGCCCTCAATGCACTATCTGTCACCATTGAATGAATAAAGCTTAAGTCAAAATAACACAAATGAAAACTGAAAGTAGAAAAAATCTAGTGCTAAATATCTAAAGCTACCAATTACTTCAGAAGTAAGTTTAATCTGTAGCACGTTAACAAGAATAAATGTATTTAGTACATAAAGCAAGATGCCCAGAAACAACATTGCAGAACCTTCTTTCTCTTCTCAACTATGTCAAGAAAAATAAGAATCACTAAAAACCCAAAAAGACTAATTTCTTTGATTCTTTCAGAGAAGATATAGATAACACTAACCAGAAACTACCATGGTACTGCTCCCTCCTTCAAGTTATTATTTTACCTTTCTGCTATTTCGGTGGGGACCTTCGGGATTTTATGTGATTGAAAATTGGGAGAAAATAAATCAGGTGACAGGAACTTCTAATTAAAGTTTTTTTGAGGACGAAAATTGTACTCAAGACCTTCTAAAGAACATAATTCTGTTGAATCTTGAGTCTAGTTTGGTAATCCTCCGTATGTTCCACCACTATAAAAAGACAAAAAGACAAGAGGTTGAAAATAAAAGAGTCGGGACAAATTACCCATTAGCAAGATCCTGTCGCCTCAGAATTCAATTCTTTATCTATCAGCAAAAAACACTGTACCGTACACATGGGACGGCACATATCTCAGCAACCCATGACAGCACAATTATACACAAAGCTACCAGATCGCTTTCGCCCAAGCAAGTTCCACTGAGGCGGTCCTTCACTTGGAACCCACGAATTAACTTCGATAATCCCTTCACCCATGGCTCTAGGCCCTCCAATTACAATTAGCCTATCACCACAAGCTCTAAAAGCCAAACCCCAACCATTCATAGAACCTGCTCTTTCAGGCAATCTTCCTATGGTAACCCATGCTTTATTTTTCTTGTCATACTTCCTCACTTCCATGTCAGCATAATCAGCAGCATACAATTCATTATTTACAACTGCCACCAAAGGAGGTGCTTCAGATGTAGCAGGCATATTATCATCCCTAGCTTCACCAGCTCGGACAGGAGACATGCTCGGGATTTCTGTCCATTTTCCTGTTTCAAGATCATACTCCTCTCCACAGGTCAATAGCTTTGACTCAGTTCCTCCGATGCCTCCGATTACGTAAAATTTTCTGTCCATGAATACTGCAGAACACATCTTACGCGGCTTGTTCATGCTCGGTAGAGTCTTCCACCTTCCAGTCTCTGAATTGTAAAGTTCTGCTGAGCTAAGGATATTGCCCTGTGAATCACAACCACCAGTTAGAATGGCAATCTCCCCAAGACTGGCAGATCCAAACAAACACCTCGGTGCGTTCATCTGCATTCCGGATGACCAAGTGTTTGTCAGTATACTGTAACGATAAATGACATGTGACAAGATCTCCTTTCCAAACACAAGAAGCTCTGTGCCAACTGCCAAAGACTCCTTGTCAGAGAACACAAAGCATTCATTGGGATTCATTGATGGTAGATGCATCCAACGGCGGCGACTAGGGTCAAAAGCTTCCCATTCCAGTAGCTGGCAAGAAAAATAAACCCAATGCTCAACCACACCATATTGCCGCCGCAATCTATAAAGCTCCCCACTCCTCACTAATGAGTGAAAGCTACTATTCAAAGATGCAATAGCTCCATAATCAGACCTGGAGCAATGAATGAGACAGCTAATGGAGTTGTCACGGCCAATGGCAGGAATAAGAGAACTTGAATCAGAATTATCTGCAGCATGACGCTGATTACTAGCTTCGTCAGCTGGTGATACTGAAGCATCACCTAAGGATATAACCACTTCTTCATTGAGAGCAACAGATCGCTTTGGCAACTTGCGTTGAACAACTTCGTTCTCGTGATTATTTTCCAATGGCCTTTTACCGTGCTGAACTTCAATCCTATCAAGGCTGTAATTCATGCAAGCTGCCCAGTTGCTTTCTCTAGGAAAATCCCTCGGTACCAAACAAGACCTGTCTTCCAACATGTCGTCCAGGTTCAGCCCTGAAAAGAAGCACCAGTACCACAGCCTAACTTTGATCTGAATTCTCAACCTTATGCTCTTCCTCACCAAACTGATATCTACTGAAGATAATTGACACGGCAACCAGAAAATTCCCAATCAGAATTTATCAAAACACAGACAGAAACCTATTGAATTCTAAGAAACTAACGAGAAAACTGAGCGACAAAATTCTCCCTCATCAAAGCACAAGAAAAGAAATATCTAGGACCCCTCATTTATTTTGAGAACAAATGCAAAGAACCTTCACAAGAGAAAAAGATAAAAGTAAATCTAGGACCCTTCATTTATTTTGAGAACAAAAGAATAATAACCCAGATAAAGTGACTCTTAAAAAGATTTGATTCTTCAATACATATCATAACTGCAGAAGCAAGTAGACACTCAAAGACAATCAAATTCACCAGAAATAAGAAATACCTAAACATTGAACCTTTTAATCAAATGAGCATACAAGAACAGAGAACAACAATCCAGATTAAGTGACTTCTTACAAAGATTCAATTTTTCACTACATATTACAACTGATGAAGTTAGTAGAATTGAATTCGCCAGAAATGACGGACTTGGAATCAAAAGCACCCAAAAAATTGAAACTTTCGAACAAATTAGCTTTGCAAGAACAAAGAAAAACAATCCATATAACTGACTTATAACAAAGATTCAGTTTTTCAATACATATTATAGCTGAAGAAGTCAGTAGATTCTTTAACATAATTGAATTCGCCAAAAACGAGATCTCTTAATTCAGATCAGAAAACACCCAATAACTCAAATTTCCCAAACACCATTAATCAAAAACAAAACTTCAATCTTGCATTCATTTCAATCACAGTAATCGGATTAGATCTCTTTATCATGCTTACAAAAATAGCAAACAGAAAAAGCTTAAATAATACTAGTAATTAAAATAAAAACAGATTGAAAACCTTATAAAACTTATGGATTAAAAAAGGAGTACCTGATTTGGATTCATGTGAGAAGAACAATCTGTTCTCTCTCTCTTTCTCTATGTATACATCTTCAGGTTAAAATTCTACTCTCTGTGTGTGTATGTGTGTGTGTTTTCCTGTGTATAAGCCTGTTTTTTTTTCCCTTTTGTGATTTGGGGTTCTCTGTGCAATCAAAGTAGACTTTGGCTTCTGCTTTGGGGCATAATCTTTAGAGGACCCTATTATCTCACTTCTATTTTATTGTCAACTACTAAATAAATAATTAATACTAAAAAATAAATACTATTCATTCCAAAGAACAGTTGTTTACATACTTAGACATAGACAGCTGGATATGCGTTTATGCATATGTTTTTACCATTTTATGAATATAAAATACAGTGTATACGCAGAGAAAGGGAAAGAAAGGATAAGCGTGGAGGAAGAAGGTTGTGGACCCCTACGGCTTATTAGAGTTTCTCTTCTTCAGTTCTTCTTTTCATACTATATTTTATATGGTTCCTTTGTTCTTTTCGTAACTGTTTGTTTTTGTTTGATTCAGCCTTTTCTATTGGCTTAATACATACTTCCCTCCCTTTAAATTTAGGCGTCTGCTTAAAAAAGAATAGACGAATTAACACTCTGTTTGAATCATTGTTCCCCATCGTTTTCTAATGTATTATATTTTATGTATCGTATCGTTTTATGAATACAATATTTGAATAGATTGTATTATTTGTTATTGTTAAATAATATTTTACTGTTTGGGTTGACTGTATCGTACTGTACTGTAACTGATAAGTTTACTAAAATACCCTCAATTGTTTAAATATTAAATTTATTAAAAATTATGCATACAAATAATTTTAAAAAACAAAACAGAAGAAGGCAAACAAAGGAGCATAGCTAATTAGAATAGAGTTAAAACCAAATTAGGAGAGAATATAAAACAGAAGGCGTTAAAACACCTTTAACGTTGGCGGCAAAAGTTCTGGAAAAAAAAGTAGGTTATAGGTTTGAGATTTGGAGTTAAAATAGAAAAAAAGGTAAAGGGTAAAATAGAATTATGGAGTAATAAGTTAGGGCATAATTGGAAAGAAAAATAGGAAACAATCCCACACACCAAATCGGTTGTTTCAAAAAAGGGGACTTTTGATTGTTCCGGAACAATGGATTTAACAATACAATACAACCAATTTTAATGAAACAATTAAAACAAATATTTTTTGGGGATAACAATACAATACGATACAACGGAAAACAACCATCCAAACAAGTTGTAAGATAAATAACCACCCATCCACCTTTAAAATATTTACCTACCCATCCACCTTTTAACCTAAGAATAGATGGCCATATATATATATATATATATATATATATATATATATATATATATATATATATATATATATATATATAAAATAATAAATAGCTATAATAATAGTCTAGAATAAACTAATAAAGTAAAAATTGATAAGGTCTGATCCTTCAATTTATAATCTTCTTCTTATATAATATGATCTTAAATAGTATGACTGATGATATGATAGTATTCGAAATATAAGATATAGTTGTTTTCTATATATATCTGAACAAATACTATTATTTTGTTGTAAATATATAAAATGTATAGCTAAGTCTATTATAGAGTAGAATCCGGTATCTATGTCTAATTTAAATTCTTCTAGACTTGAGGTAAGGCTTCTAGCAAATCCTTCTGGATGGGTATAGTTATTACGATTAATAGGCATTAACAGTAATATTGTTTAAGTTTCTAATCTTGAAATATTTACTGGTTCGGTAAAATAATTTTACTGGTACGGTAAAATTAGTGTTGTAAAAACATTAAACTCTTATGTTATAAAATCCTACTCGGTACTCTCTCTCTCTTATTCTGTAGACCTATATCATTACAGTATTATCAAAATTATGCCCTGAAATTACCCCTTCTATACTCTTTTTTTTTTATATTATTTTATTCCACTCTGTTCATCTCTTCTTTCCAAATTTTTAAAGAATTAATCTTTTCTTATATATATTTTTATTAACCCCACCCTGGCCACGGTTAAACATATATACCCATTTTTTGTTAATGTTGGTTTTGACTTAACCGGTTTCTCCTAGGAATTTATAGGTTAATCCTTCAAAATTAATTAAGAAATTGAAAAAGATAACCATATACTAAGAGTGGTATATATATATATATATATATATATATATATTATATATATATAATATAATATATATTATATATATATATATATATATATATATATGTATGTATGTATGTATGTATGTATGTATGTATGTATGTATGTATATATACCTACTAATAATTGAGGAATAATAAACATACACTATAGATAATAACATAAAACTGTAAAACAGGGATAATATCCAGAAACATAATTTAGATAAAATAAGTAACTTACATGTTTACAGGAGAGAGATTTCCCTTTCGGGAAACCCAAAAAAGTTTACCGGACTTGGGAATAAGATCTGGCACACACAAGCATAATGATTTATTTATTTTACAAACTCGAGGTAGAAACTACTAAGGCATACATAAGGAAATATTTTACAAGGTATATTACAAGATATTTAGAGGATGGTGGGTGATGAAGGAGAGTATTTTGGTGGCTTGGCTTCTTGAGAGTGTCTTTCTCTCTTGTAGTGTGTCTTCTCTTCTTCTTTATTTCCCTTTTATAGCTAAATTTTTTAGACGGATTTCAAAATGGACTCCAAACCTTCCAGAAATCTTTCTTGTCTAGCCTTGTAGGGTACTTTCATTGGGCCCATTCTTCACATGGCTTAGGCAGGGATTTCTTTAGTGTTTGTGACTATTTCTTCCACTCAAATTTCAGCTTGTCTTGTAGTACTACTTTTGTCACGTCTTCTTTTCCTTTATGTCACTTCTTCTTTTTCAATTGTCTCCCGAATTATTGCTCTTTGTCTTTGTTGCCCTTATTTTCTTCTAACTGAGATCTTGCTTCCCTTTTACGTGTCTAAGTTATGTAGAGCTATTAAATCAAAACTCATTCCAGAATCATCTTCGTATGGATCTTGGGCATCTTGATAATTTAAGTGGTCTTCATTATCATCTTCCCCTGAGCTTTGAGACCTTTCTGGACTTCTTTCTGGACTTGGATTAAAACTGGGACTTTTAATCATCTGCTTGTCTTGCTTTTCTTTTTTCTTGAAAAGAAATTTTCTAATGTCTGTTTAATTATGCTTTCTCTATTTCTCATTTTTTTTTTCTTTTTAGAAATTATACCCTTCTTTTTTAATGCTTCTCCCTGTGTTAGTGTTCTAGGTAGTCTTCGTCTTGATGAACTTTCATCTTCACTTTTTGGCAAAGTGACAGCCATAAACGGATTTGATATGTCTTTATCGGTTACCGTTTGAACCGGACTAGCTGTATCATTATCTGATACAGTAGATTTTGCTGCATTCATTGGGGAATGCACACCTTCTCATCCATTTTTTCTTGAGATGGAGAACTCTGTTTTGGACTACTCATCTCAGTGTCTTGTTGAGATATAACTTGAGTCTGGGATTGTGTCAATTCAAATTTATAACGCATGTATTCTTTGTTCTAGTACCTCCATTTGCTCCATAAGTCTTGTTTTTTCCTGTGCCAAGATTTCATTCTTCTGGTTTATTCGTTTGAAGGCTTCCGTCATTGATGAGCAATGATCACAGAATATTACTTGTCGTTGTCCTTTTGGATGTTATATTGGGGAATTTTTCTGGGTTTTGTCTGAGTGCTGGGGAGATAATAGTAGTTTGGTCCTAGTATCCTGTTTGCATAGTCTAATGCTTCAGTGAAGTCATTGAAACCTTTAAAAAGTGATTTTTCTATGTTTTTAATAGAGTCTAGTACTTCTAACCATGTCTGAAAAATGTCATTTGTCTTACCATGTATAGCTACATAGTATTTAAATCTTTTTTTCTTGGTTTTTGTCTGTAAAATACTGTCCTAAGGCATTAAGAGCCACTATAACATATTTAGCGTCTTTTTTATTATATGCTATCCATAAGTTATCAATTAAACATCTTTGAGGTCTATCTATGACACATTCTGGTAATACTCTAAACGATATGTTTGATGGTGGAAAAATATTAAATTATGCTTTCCAAAAAACTTATTCATCCATATGAGTTTGTTTCTGCAAAGAATTGTGGCTTAAAATGAAGATTACCTAATACTGTGTGCAAGTATTTGTCTGAGGGTGAGGCTTGAATGCCCTTCCCCTTGTCTTCAGTCTTGGGAACTGTTTGGTCTCATGCTGTACATGTAAAATATTTATTAATTAACAGTAATTTTAAAGCCTGCTTAACTGATCTGCTAAATTATTATCTTTTCCTTTAATATTGTTCAAAAACCAAATTATAATATTGATATAGTATCAATAAAATTTAACCATCTTCTTCTACTACTATTCTTTGCATTTTCTTTTGGTGAAACTTAACTATAGCTTCACAGTCAGTTCTAATTGTTACTTCTTGTTTATTCAATATGTATAATTTAAAACTATTTAATCCGTATATTACAGCTAAAATTTCTGCATCTATACAACTCATATTTCCTTTTTTCTCTATATTTACCACTTTGGTAAGCATATATTTTTTCTGTATTCTTATCACTATATTTATTTGGTTTTGCCTTCAAAACTGCTCCCCATCCTTCAAAACTCCCGTCTGTTTTATAATTAAGTAGTCTGTTTCTAATGGCATATTTAAATCAGGAATATTTTTTATTTTTCTTTGATTTTTTGTACTAATTTAATGTCTTCTATGTTGAAATATTTTTGTCCTGTAGAGCCTGTTTTTAGCATATGGTGGTCCTGCTATTTTTCCTAAATCTTTTATAAATTTCTTGGATAATTTACTATTTCCTAAAACTTTTGTAGTTCTTTAGTATTGTCTTAATTTATCTGGCATTTCTAGAGCCTTTTTTAGCTATATGGGGTTGTAATTTAATTTTTCCATCCCCTAAAATACTCCTAGAAAATTGATATATTTTTACATAGTCTTTTTACTAATTATTATTCTATTATCTACAAATAATCTAAATACTGTCTGTAGATGTCCTAAATGCTCTTTAATATCCTTACTAAATACTAATATATCGTCTACATATAACTAAAAAAAATCTCTTATATTCTCCAAATATACTGTCCATTTTGCGTTCGAAATTGGTGGAGCTTGTTTTTAGGTCGAACGGTATTACCAACGCATTCGAATGCCCTTCTGGACAAGTAAATGTTGTCCATTCAATACTTTCTTCATGCATTTTTACTTGCCAATCCTGATTTACAATCAAAACTTACTGAATATCTTTTTTCCTTGTATTCTATTTATTAGTTTTGTTTTGTCAGGTAACTTATATCCGTCTGTTTTTAATGTTATCATTAAGTCTCTTATAGTTTATTACCATTTCTTGCTTTTTCTCTTATGATTTCACTGTGATTTCTAACCATGAAGGCTTGCTGACCTTTGTCTAGAAGTAGATCTCTTTATCACTCCTAAGGCTCAATAAGTTTCTTCAATTTGATTTCTAAAAAGTCTTCTAAAATCTTGATTATAGCTTCTTAGTTGAGGCTGTTTTAATTATATATTCTGGCATTAATTATAATCTATTTACACATAAACTTTAATGTTTTTTGCCAATGTTTTAAAGGTTTTTTCTCCTACTATTTATTTCATCCTAATATTTTTAATTAATAATTATCTAGATCCTTTCATTTTTTATTATTCCTAATATTTGTATCCTGTTTAAAATTATATAACTCTGTTTCTAATTCTATTAGAGTATAGTAATTTTTCTATATATCTTTTAATCTCAAATTTTCTTCTAGTATTAAGGTTTAGATTCTTCTTTAATCTACCAAATGTATTTTTATCTTTACATTCTTTACAACATTCTTTTCTAGATTTCTGCCTGTAGGTTTTCTGGTTTGTCATTCAATCGTGTCCTTATCCTGGTTGCAGTTTCTATTGTTTGTAACTAGTGTAATGTGTTAATATAACGTTTTAAAAAATATACTCCATCCCTGCTGAGTAGGCGCACCAATTGTTAATGTAATGATAAGCTTAACCCAATAACAAAAATCTACATTTATATTTAAGTCTTTACCCATATTTTATCTACCTGAGAGAGAAGAAAGAGATCTCTATGCGTTGCTTATATCATTCGATGTTATCTTGGCTGGCACATTCAATCTCCTTCGTCACATATTGTGAGTTCCATATGTCACAGCTCCTTTTTTTACAGTACCCTAGCCCCGAAGGAATAAATGTATATAGGGAAGTTTTTCCATTTAAAGTGAATTATTCGAAAAATGGAATTATTTATTTAATTTTTAGAGTTCGCCACTTTGGGATAAGGATTGGCTTTTGGTGTCCCAAGTCACACGTTTAACTTAAATCCCAAAGTCGAGGAAAATGATCGACTTCCCAATCTGGAGTCCGCGAACCAGAAATTCTGAATTAAGGAGATTCTGTTGACCCGAGGAAAGTGTTAGGCACAACCCAGATCCCGTGGTTCTAGGCACGGTCGCTTAAATTATAATAAATGGCTAAAATCTGATTTTTATACATGTTATCCTATTGCAATTTTAGAATTGTTTAAAACCGCTTTTAATTAGTTTATTATGAAAGTGAACGCCGTTTAAAGAGCGTGTTTTTAGGATCACCGTCACATGAAATGTACCCGGATCCTCAACACCTCTTATTCAACGTTTTGGGATTTGGATTTGAGTTGCATGAAAATGCGCACGCCGAGTTTAGGAAAAGTAATATTATTAAAAGCGCGTCTAAAGTGGCTAGCGTTTATTAACTTTGCGGGAAGCCATGAAATTCGCTAAATGGCATGTCCCGAATTTCTAAAATAATTTTAATAAAGTATTTAATAAGGGCACCCGCAACTTATGCATTTTTATTTGGCGAGGCTCGTGCTCATTTTATTATTTAAGGCCAGCCTAAAGCGAACTACGATTTTCTATTTAAATTTGTCTCTAAAAGGGTCAATTAATTTTGCATTTATAAATTCGGGCCTCGAGTTCAAGCCCGAATGCACTATAATGACTTATGAAATTTAAAGTCAGCACAAACAAACTATAAATTATAATATCAAGGCATAGCTAACATGGCTCTTACTACCTCAAATCAAAAAGTCTGTATAGTCCAGTTCAATTACAACATTTAGCTACTAAATTGGAATTAAACTAAGCTAACATAAACACCCAAGCCAAGAGTAATGGATTTCCATTTCGCTTCTTAATCAAAAATATACATCACATGGTTTAGGGCTTGTACCTGGATAATGAAACAAGAAGAGAAGAGGAGATCGATCAATGACAGACAGCAAGCAGTGCAGCTTATATCAACAGCAAATAGAGCCAATTTTTAAGAATCCAAAAATAACACCACAACACCCAGAACTGAACGACGGAAAAGAGTAGCACCCACAAAATAACCAAGGTAGGCTTAAATAGACTTGCAATTAAACTTAGGCTATGTCCAAAGCTTCAGCAGTCAAAAACACCCCCAGGATTCACCCACCAAATTTTATGCTAGGAACTTGAATTAAGAGCTAAAACTTCGAAATTGATCTAGGAAGTTTCAACAGAGCAGTATTTTGGACTCTTCTGTTGTTTTTTGTTTGTTAGGTTTGGCTTTTGATTTGAATTTTCAAAATTCTAGGATTCTGAATTTACTAGAAATTCTTTGAGAGGAAAATTTGAGGCTGAACCCTTTTAGAATTTTTCAGAGAGGTAAACTTGTAGAGAATTTTTGGGATTTTTCAGATCCAAAAAAACTTCTTAAGAAGGCAAATGGGTGTGCCTTTTATAGGCAAAGCCTAGGGCTACCTTCAGATTTTTTAGTTTTCTTTTTAGTCCTTACCCATTTTCACGCTTTTAGTCCCTTATTTTTTTAACTTGTTACCCAAGTTACTATCCTAAACTACTGAAATCTAACTGGAGCCCTATTCTATGAAGCGTCTAGGTAATTCTTTTAGTTACTACAAGATTCCCTTCTCTTTGAAATGCTAACTTACCCTTGAATCAGTTCTGAATTAACTAGCCTATGTCAAACTAACCCCAACCTCTTCTAACTTAGTCAAAAATTAAACCATGGTTAAACGAAACAAAATGCTGGAGTATTCAACTATACCCAAAACAATTCCATATAATAAAAAAAAACTCTAAAATTGAAACTAATCCATCTAACTAATCAACACTAGAAATTAATTCTAATTAAACACTGTCAACTTAATGAACTAGACAAAATTAAGAACCAAAATTGATAAAAAATTCCAAATAAGCTAACAGAAACTTATGAATCAAACAACAAACAAATTAAAAAGAACAGGTTTGTGCTATCAATTAGCAGAAAATTAGAACTCAACCAAAAATGAAAACGAACACATAATGAACAGAGAAAACAAAATCAACTACTGACCCTAAACGGATCGGTAAGCAAAAATAACAATCAAACCTTAAATCGATTAATCATGAAAAGGAATCAATCATAGAGAGGAAACTAATTCAAATAACAAAACAAGAGAAAAATTCAGAAACTCACTGATTTTGGGCTTTAACTTGATTGATTTCGAATCTGGTCCTTAAAATATTGTTATGTGTTTGTTCTTGTCAAGAACAACGCATAGCATAATTTTAAAACCCTTTCCACATCACCGGCTAACCCTGGAAACTCGAAAAGTCTTGAACGAAAACCCTAGATTCCAAAATTCGAAGGGTTACTTGGGTTTGAATGGTTTTGGTTAGGATTTAGGAAGAAGGAGGTGAGGAAAGACCCTAGGGTATAATTTTGGGGCAGTTTGGAGGTGGCGCCGCGGTGTACGGCGGAGGCGGCAACCACTGTTTTTGGCTATTCGAGGGGTTCGGAGGGGATTTGAGGAAAGGTAAGGCTGGATTTGTAAAGGGGAGGTGAAGGGAGGCAGTGGTGAAATTTGGGAGCATTTGGACAAATCGGCCGCCGGCGGACGGCGATTTCCGCCGGCGGCGGACGGGCGGAGGCGATTCCGGCAGGCGGCGGATGGCGGAGGACGGCGGCATCAAGGGTTCAGGTGAGAGGTCCGGAGAGATGGTGAGGGTAGGGGGTTTGGGGGTGGGGGTAACGTTTGGACATTTAAATACTCTCACACCCCAGCTTCTCAACGTTCGATCAAGTAAACCTCGACGGCTGAGAATTTGCTGCGAGCAAAACGGCATCGTTTAGGTTATGGGGGTGTTGGACCGAGTGCAAGGGTAATTTTTGGGCTAGTTTTTTGGACCGGGTTTTTTGGGTCTTTGATTTGGGCCGGTAACTTAAAACCAGAAATTGGCCAAAATTTGGGTCTTTTTAAAAATAAGAGACTCAAATTTCTTTGTATTTTCTTTTCTCTTTTTTTTTTTCACAATTAAAATTTAAAGTCTAAATTAATTCTAAAAACTAAATTAACCTACCCAATCTATTTAATAATTGATACAATTAATTAAATCCAAATTTAAAGGAAATTCTACCAAATCAAGAAAAGTTAAACAAAGCAGAAAATAACTCATTTTTTATGTATTTTATATATTTTTTGTGAAATCCTAATTACTAATTAATCTAAAATATATAAGATTAAATCCTAAATGCAAATGCCGAATTTTGTTATTTTTATGAATTAATGTTAAATAAAATGCACATAGTAAAAATGCAAAATAAACACGAAATATGCAATTAATTCCTACAACTAAACAATTAAAAGAAAAAAACTTCTAAAATTCTATGAAATCTTGTAGGATAATTTCGTGCGAGGGCAAATCACATGCTCACAGACTGCCTCTTTTGTCGAAGACACGAAGGGTTTTCGGGCAAAGATAAAATGAGCAACAATCGAGGGATTTTTGCCAGCTTCGGCACCCAGGAGAAGCATTTTGAAAACCGTCTGGACCGACACCTGCTTTCAAGGTTGCCTACTATCCTTGGCTATAAAGGAACAGGGTCAGTGTAAGTTCTGGAGTGCTTGGTAGCTGGGACTACAGGAGCTGTGATTTCAAACTGCTGTTGCTGCTGGCTATGCTTGCTGACCTCCTTATTACACCAAAGAAAATCAAAGTAGCTAGCTATGCCTATCAAACTATGAGTTACAAGATTCCTATCTATAAATGTCTTGAAACTTGATCTTGAGTCTTAGCTGATTATGCTGTGGACTTGCGATCTGAAATTTGGTGCTCGCAAGTTGTAGGTAATTTTCTTCTTCATTGCAGCATTGGGTCCAAAAACACAGATCACGGAGCTTGTGACTCTTAAATCAGGATTTGAGCGCTCCGCCTTGCTTGCTTCACATCATTTGAATTCACATCATCATTTCGTTCTTTTCTACTCTTTCTTGACTCTGGACTGAGATTCATTCCATTGGTCATTTCACACCTGGCGTTTTGATTGGACCTGCTATAAGAATACCAAAACAAACCAAACGACACGAAATTATTCTGCCCAGTTTTCACTAGAAAATTTCGGTGAGTTAGTTGTACACATATCTAAGCAAATCAAATCCGGACATGTGTTAGAGGAATCACTCGGTTTTTGGTTCAAGGGATTTGGAGAAGCAAAACAAGCATCCACGGTTTTGTGCCGGGAGATCTCTCGGTTTTTTGTTCCGGGATTTGGGAAAGAAAAAGCTCCACAGGTTTTTATGCCGGGAGATCCCCGGTTTTGTTCCGGGATTTTTGGGAAAAGAAAAAGCTTCCACGGTTTTTGTGCCGGGAGATCCTCGGTTTTTGTTTCGTGGAAAAGGCTCCACGGGTTTTTGTCGCGGGTAGATCCTCGGTTTTTGGTCCGGGATTTGGAAAAGAAAAAGCTCCACGAGTTTTTGCTGCTGGGAGATCCTCGGGTTTTGTTCGGGAATTTGGGAAAGAAAAAGCTCCACCGGTTTTTTGTGCCGGAAGATCCTCGGGTTTTTGTTCCGGGATTTGGGAAAGAAAATTGCCTCCACCGGTTTTGTGCCGGGAGATCCTCGGTTTTTGTTAACGGGATTTGGGAAAGAAAAAGCTGCACGGTTTTTATGTGCCTGGAGATCCTCGGGTTTTTTGGCCGGGATATTTAAGGATGTGATATCCTATGCTACTCAGAATGTTTGTTTTTCATTTTGGGAATTTTTATTTTAACTTCCTTTTTCTTCTTTCTTCTATCTTTTGTTTTTCCTTTTTTCAATGATTTTCTCCCTCTTTTATTTAGCAAAATAATGAAAGAACTTGGGGAGGGTGAACTTCCTTTTTGGTCGTTTTCCTGCTGCAGAGTTGTTTCAGCGCTTGCGCATTTCCATTTCTTTTTGGACTCTGCACTGCTTCCTTGCACGGTTACTTTGAATCAAACCTGTTTTCACAAAATAACAATTTGTTAGTTTGAAACGGTGGTTGGTTTTGTGGCCTTGACTATCTCAATGCTTGATCTTCGCCACCATTTTCGTTGGAAACTTTTGCCTGGCTTATGTTTTGCCTTGAGGGTAATCTCTTTTCAACCGATCGGGTTTCAGCCCTTCAGGATTTCATTATGATCGCCCGTGTGGGCTCGACCTTGTCACTTTATTCTGCCGTTTGCCTTTGATTTTCTTTTTTTCCAATATTTTTGCTTCAAAAGCAATCAACTCAACTATGGTCAGTCGAGATTGGCCTGACCGCACTCACCTGAGGCTGGGTATATTCTTCGAACTCTGACCAGCGAGCCCTGTGAAACCAGTCCTGCCACTTTCTTGTACTAGTTACGGAATCAGAGATTAAAACCGAAAGGGATTATCAAGAAAAAGATAGTGCAAAGGCAGCAATATGAATTTTTAAAAAAAGAGAAAGCATCCCTTTCGGGGCAAAAAAGAAGGACTGTATCTGGGGTGTGCAATGCCTGGCTTCAAAATGAACATGAATGCTTTCTTGGACTGGATTGCCCGAACCCACACAAACTTTCCGGCTTCTCGTGAACCCATTAATCAGTATTTTCAAAAACCAGGGAACCTTGCCAGGACTCCTTTAGTGGCGAGATGTCTTTCTTTTCGGCCGAACAGCGCCTTAGCGGTTTTCGCTAATCGACCTCATCTCATTTCTCTCTCAACCATCGCCGAGTAGTGCTCCTTTAGAGTTTTCACCACGGACTCTCTCATTTTTAATTTCTCTTCTCATCACCGTCGCTTATGGTGCCGAAGGTTTTCACCATAGACACTCTCTCATCTTTATTTCTCTCATTTTGGACTATACCAGCTTCCAACAATATTGCTTTTTTCATTCCCACGCCTTGCCAAATTGATCAGAAGGACTTGGACAAGGTTTTGGTAAAAAAGAAATTCTGGACGGAGGTACAACTTTGGAACCATTTGCGGCGGATTCATGGCCGAACATTATATCATCTGCCCCAGTTTTCATTTTTGGGAAATTGGGGATTTTTGTTTTGGTGTGACTGAACCTCAGGGAGAGCTGCCTACGTACCTTTCAGGATCAAGTTCAAACGAGTTCAGAACATTTGTTTTTGTTGTTTTGGGTTTTTTGTTTTGTTTTTCTTTTATATCAATATTTGTCTCTCACTCTCTCTTTTTTTTTTTAATAAATACTTCTGGGTTCCAAAAAGGGTAGCCAAGAAGGGTAACGGGCTCAAATGAGGTTTACGAAGGGGTTGATAGTGTTTGGGATTAGTCGAGAAAGAAACCTTCGCATCTCATTGCCCAAAAGCCATCGCCGAAATGAGGATATGACGTAGTACCTTTTTTAACTGCATCCGTTGACTGCTGTCTCAGGATACATTCCTTTCGATGTCTCCGCAGATACAGTGCTCCTCTTGGCATATTTTTCCGGATGTGTATGGACCTGGTTCAATTAGGGGGTCAAACTTCCCTTTTGCTTTCTGATGATAGAGGGAGAAATGCGTCTGAGTACCAGCGTCCCGACTTCAAAATTCCTGGGACGCACTTATCTTTATTATAGGCACGGGCCATTCTTTGTTGGTACAGGCCTGTCCGTCGACAAACCGCGGCCATGTCCGTTTTTTCAATCAATTAATACAATTTGCTCTAGTCGGGTTTTACCGCATTCACTGTCTCAGATCTCCGGCCCTCAACGATTAAGCCCGGAGTGAAGGAATTTCCACTTCCTGCAGGTAATGACTGCTTCAGTAACCGTTACACTAACAAGTACGGTGTTGCTCCCAATTGATGTACGTACTGTGGTGCGATAGTCCAATCTGTAATGCGAAGGGTAACCTTTTCATGCCATTGCCGGGAGCTTTGAAATCATCTTTTCTCAAATCTTCTTGAAATGTTCTTATTTGCTGCTCAATAGCACCCATTGGCTTTTGGCAGAATAGGGAGTTTGAGTTTTCCTATGTCGTTATCTTCGAATTGTTACATACCTCCTATCATCAGGCGACTGTTCAAAGTTAGCTGCATTAGTCGGTATTAATAATTGCCAGGAATACCAAAGCGGCAAATGAGATTGGAGTGCACAAAGTCGACCAATACGCTTTTTGTGACTGACTTGAGGGTGATGGCTTCAATACCCATTTTTGTGAAATAGTCAGTTGCTACAAGTATGAACCCTATGCCCATTCGAAGCGCTTTTGCTCGATAGGCCAATGACATCCATGCCCAAAGCACCAAACGGCAAGGTGCTGACATCGGCGATGGGAGTTCTGTTCGGAGGTTGCATGAATCAAGTTGCCGTGCACCCTGGCATTGATGACATTTCTGCGAACAAAACTTGAAACAGTCCTTCTCTATGGTTATCCAGTAAATACACCGCTCGCAAAATGTTTCTTGCACACACATAACCATTCATATGAGGTCCACATACTCCCTGCGTGCCTTCATGCATAAGTTCTTCCCAGCTTCCTCGGTGCAACACATCTTAGCAAGTTGAAGGTCCGGGTTCTTTTAATACAAAACATACCGGTGCGCACTTAAGAAGAAACCAATCGCATCGTCCGTCAATGCGTTCTTTTCTGAATCTATGCCGGTGCTGCTCCAGGGTATTCCTGTGTTTTCAGAAAACTCTTGATATCACGATACCAAGGCTGACCAACATAGGTTCCACCTCAAACCGCATTACATTGACCCGTGTTTTTTTTTGATTTGAATCTTTAAAGGGTCAATATGGGCATGGGCCTGGGTAAGGCATACAATTGAAGCTAGAAAAAAAAAAAAAAGTGGGCAAGTCAATCGGCTAGGTTCATTATGACACGAGGGAGATATACCTGAATTCTACCG